GTCTATATCTATCTCGATTCGTTTTGGCTGTTACAAACAACCGTTATGTGAACAAAATTAATATACCCTTGTGCACAAGTGCGCTCGGGTATAAAAAAATTATTATCTTCTTACTTTTTACAGTACAGTTTAAGGAAGTTCTAACGTTATGTAAAAACCTTAAGAAAATCCTAAAGTATTTTGTTTGAATTAAAAATGCAGCACAAATCAGTATTTTGAAAAATTAGGACATTCGCGTACTGATTGAAGAAATGAATAAAATCAGTACAAGAGTTGAAAAATCAGTACTGTACTGATAAAATCAGTACGTCTGGCAACCGTACATATAGCACGTATACAATTTATTATTTAGATATGAAGTTAGAGTTATAGCGCAAAAGCACATATCTGAGTAACCAGTTGTATTGGAGCTATACGTTAAAGTGCACCCATTTCGGTAATTTTAAGGAATAATTAATCTTAAAAACCCGTTAAGTGCAAAATTTTATTAAAATAACTTCAAAACGAGGGAGTTATTAATAAAATAGTTAAAGTTTAATAAAATTTCAAATACCATTATCTCGAAAACCGGAGCCAATCTGGTAAAACGGGGGATGTCATTAAAATTAGAACGTCTCAATTAAGTGAGCTCAGCTTTCAAAATAATAATAATAATAGATTGGCGCTTACCTACAGTTTTACGCCGACTCCGAACGGCGATTGTATTTTTATGAGAAGCTGTTTTCATGGCAGAAATACACTCGGAGGTTCGCCATTGCCTGCCGAGGGACGACCGCTGTTAAGAAAAAACCTATTTCTATATTTTTTTTGCGATGTTGCTTTGACCAGGGCTTGAACCCAGGCGTTGCGGAGTGAAAGCGCGCACTGCTTACCACTACACCACAGCGGCCGACAAAATAATTGCTCAAAATTTACAAATTGAACAACGTTATTTGAACCCAGCTTATTCTTTTGTTTTCTATTTCATGTTCATTCCTCGTCTAACTTATGAAGCACTTGATGCAAATGAATTAGACTTATTTTAATGGATTTATTAAGAGAATACGAATAAAATGGTATATAAAATATAGGCGTGCTCACAAATTTAAAAATTAAAAATGTGTTTGGGTGAGTGTACCTATTTTTTAGATTTGCCCACATACTTTAGTAGCTTAATAATTGATGAACTAAAGACAACAGACCAGCAAAAATATCCATAAGCAACCCAGAAAAAATATTCATAAGAAGATACAATTGGAACCAACTCAATATACCATGCTCACCCATTAATTTTCTAAACGATACAAACCCGCCATGCCTACTTAACACCTCTACAATCGATGGCAGTTCGCCAAATCCAATATCAACCCTAAAATATTTCGCTCTATTTTTAGTAAGACTAAGGGAGATCACCCAAATCATACCTTCGTATATACTGATGGCACAAAAACCAAAGATTTTATCAGTTTCAACATAACTTCCACAAAGTGTATTATAAAAACTAGAGTGCCAGTTACTGTCGAAATTCGACAGTTTTTCTAGTTTTAGAAGCCTTGGAGAGGTTTTCTAACTTAACACGTAGCAAAACTTATACGGTAAAAAATTAACTAACCGGAAAATCTTCTGCTAAAACGTAACTAATTTTTTTTTTTGTCTGAGAAGGTCTTTGGAGAACTTTGGCAGGACTTGGAATTGACCCGATACATTCAAGTTTATCGATAAATTTCAATGATTTGATACATATCGATAGTGCGATGAATTTCAAGAACACTAAAATTCGATAACTCAACAAAATTCGTTAACTCGACTAATTTTGATAACTGTGAAATTCGATGGCTCGATAAATTTCGATAACTCAAAAATGTAAAAACTTTTAACCTTTATAAATTTTTACTTTTGGCATCTCCACATTTTTCGAAA